TGTTCTGCACAAAATTCAGATAAAACTAAAGCTAAGGACCTTATTCACAGAACATTTAAAAGCATTTTTATACAGAGTCTACACACAAATATATCTTAAATTACAATGATGCATACTAAATATGCATATAGAATATGGCTTACACATTAAAAGAGATCTAAGTTGTGAGTTATAAAATCTCACTACTTAGGCTTAACAGCTTCTGATTGTATCCATTTCTAAAATATTGCTTAGCATTGTGAAATCCAGGAAGGAAGCAGGTGCAACAGAAAACTCGTTAGGATGGATGAATCCTCCTTCATGTCATTTAATTGATGGCTACTCTTGATTCTTTCCATCCAATTTCTGCCTTTCACAAAGACAAATTCACTGAAGCTCACCATTAAAATGTTCGTACAGTGAAAAGTTACAATACCTAATTGTGCTTGACCTTTCTTGTCAGCTAATAACAAACAAATAAAGATAGTTCAGTTTGGAGCAAAAGAAAGGCTTTGCACATGCTCAGGCAAAACATGACAAGGAAGCAGAGCCTCATAGGGTTGCAGTTTGTTTCTGGGCAGCAAACTTTGAAAGCTGCATCAAATAGTGTTACCTGTACAGAAAAATGTGGGCTTCCATTTTCATAGACATTTTGAACACACACATAAACACACATATACACATACTTCTTGTGTCTTATCCCTTGGCTTGTAATATATTTTGTTACATCTTGATGGGATAACCATCCCAGAAGGCAAATTCCATTTTCCATTCTGGTGTCTGTCTCTACCAATGGTTGACAATCTCGTTTTTTTGTTTTCATGGACTGTAGAAACCATGTGACCTGCGTCATGACCACGCCCATGGAAGTGATGCATTAGTGTATTAAAACCATGGGATGGATGGATACAAGCTGGTCCGCTACATTCGAGGAAGGGTTTCACTGCCATTTCTCAGTATGAGAGTTACAATGAGGTGTTCATCAGATCACTGTGCTGGGCTATGATGCTCCGTTGTTGCCACAGGACTTCAACTACAGCTTCTGATGAGTCCCACCTCTCATTCTGTTCTCATGCATTTAAAATGAGGACAATCTATATAGCCTGCTCCCCAGCACTGCAAAAAATATATTTTCCATAATTCTGGTTTTGCTTTCCTTTTATTTTAGACCTTGAACAATATGTAATTAGAGCACTCCGTGTAAGACAGTGCAAGGAAGTAAATTTAAAAAGCCTTCATCTTCTGCACATGTATTGCACAGTCTCTACGACTGGCTCAAAGTGAGAAAAATTTAAAGCTGTCTGACTTTTGTCTTAAAAATTTTTCTGGCTTGATTGAAGAAGGCCAAATTGTGGAGGAAAAACAATGGCAGAAGCACTGGCTAGAAACTCTGATAGCAACTTGAGTGTATTTATTCGGCCAGAATGACTAGCTCAAAATTTGTGTTCTTCTTAATTCCTTATGTAGATGTCCATAAAAATGGCCCGATCCAACTGTACGTTGAAAAAAGAGACACAGCTTTGTGGAAAGTTGAGGATTTAGGACGTTTTCGTGCTGCTTTCATTATCCTAAAATAAAATCCAAATGAAAATGAAGATCAGAGAAGAGGTGGAGGGGGTAGGGAGTGGAGAGGCTTAGGCAGATGCTGGTCAAATGATACAAAACTTCAGTGACATAGGAGGAATAAGTCCAAGAGATCTATTGTACAACATGGTAACCATACTTAATAACAATGTATTATATCCTTGAAAATTGCTACTAAGAGAGTGGATTTTAAATGTTCTCACCCCCAAAATATGATAAGCCTGTGAGGTAATATGTATGTTAATTAGCTTGATTTAGCCATTTCACAATTTCAGAACAATACATTATACCTGATAATATACATGATTTTTATTTGTGAATTACAAAATAAAGAAAGAAAAAGAAGATCATGATTTAGTCATATACAGGCATTAATTACTGTGCGGCAATTTCACATTGGACTTTATATACCTGGTCAAGAATGAGGGATTTATCAGTATATAATAGAAAGTGGTTTACATCAGTTGGAATTCCTCTTCCGACTTGTACTCTGTGTATGTATGTGGTTTAATCCCAGTAAAAACTTTGATTCTTTAGATCAGAAGTCACAAACTCAAACAGCCATATGGGCCTACCATGTACTGTAAGTGAGTTAAGTGGCACTGGGTGTATGTAAAACAACCAGAATTACAGGGACTGTAGTGAAGTAAAGTTGTGCTCTTTAGTTCCGCCTAAAGACATTCAAAAACATATTTTAAATCAGTGTGGAAGTCAAACAAATCTGCAGACTAAAATACAGCCCGCAACTCATCAGTTTTTGGCCTCTTGTTGGGCAGTACACTCAAAATTAAAGAATTGGCATTGGCAAGAGAGGGAACACTTTCTCCACAGTGAGGAAACAGGTCTGATACTGGTTTGCTTTTGAAATGCCAGAAATCTCTAACATATCTTTCAAGGAAGATAATGTGATAAATGATATACCATTAGCTTTTTAAATAATAAAGTAGGATGGCATTGTACATCCAACCCCAATCTCATTTACTTTAATTAACAGAAACATAAAAGAAAAATTTAAGCAAAACAAAAGATTTTGTGGACTGGAACCTCTTAGAAATGATGACGAAATTATACAACAGTGTGAAAAGTGTATTTCAAAGGCTTCTTTCCTGTTCTATATATAGTGGTGCACATTGATTTATGAGGCCTGAACATGGCACAAATTTAATTAGAGCTCAATATTTCCTGGGAAAGCATCTCGCAGTAGGGCCTACACATTGAGAAGAGAGCAGGCAATGGCTTTCAGAGATGTGACCAGGCTGCCATAGATCTACAATTTCCGTGATAGTGGCAAAAGAATTAGCTACCAGTCACAAAGAAGGTGTGGTAAATTTGCACACAGGGAGCCTGCAGCCAAATCTAGACCATGTACATATTTTGTCTGGTCCACACAGTGTTTCAAAAAACTTTGAGCCAACATGAAAAATTGGAAGATTTTACATTAGGGAAAAAAAAGAAACAAAAAACAACTCTCTTAAGCACTAAAAACACCTGGAAACACTGGGCCCTCACTCCATGGCGAAAATCTGCCGGAGCCAAAGAGCAGCTGGCTGCAGCTGCAGCCTTCAGGTTGGGTGTGTCCTTTCTCTGTTTCTAAGACCGATGGATCGCTGCCTGTTGTCTCCCACACCACACCTGAGTCACAGCTGCCAATTTTCACCTCTTGTTTTCAGATCCTGCCCATTCCATCCTTTAAAGCACCTGCCTGTCCCTTGAAGGCATGTGAACTTCACCTACTGAAGGCCCTGTTTCCTGGAAGACTGTGTCTTTTTAGTTGAGAAAAAGAAAAGGATACTTCATTAACTGTCATATCTATCTATCTGTCTATCTAGCCTGAGACATTTTCATACAACGAAGAGTAATTTTTACAAATGTATTGGTGACCTGTGTTCCCTACATGCAATTTTTGAAACATGTTCATAAATATTCCAGATTCATGTCATGAATGCTTAGGAAATGCTGATCCTAAAGTTTTTTTTTTTCTTTTGAAGCTATATAGTGTATACCAGCTTGGAGATGTCCTATAAAAAAGAATCTTGCTTAATTTTGTCTTAGTTTTTTAATGATACTTATTTGCTAATAAAACTTTTTGTTACTTAAAACATTTATAAATATTCCACTGAATTAGTTTTCCCTAAAATATATTTCAGGGGCTCCATCATATATTATCAGGACCCAAACTCTTTTCTAGAATGACCGTGGGCTCTAAAGGTAATAAATTTATAGTTTGGATGGAGAGGAGGGAGGGGAATTTCTGTAGCTAATATGAGACAATATATTATAACTGTTAAGTATAGGGAGGAGTTTTAGTTGCTGAATAACCTTTTTGTGTCTTTATTTCTTTCCAAGCTTTATATACAAAATAGGAATCCCATTCACTAAGTTTGTCACACTTACTAAGTGTGGAATTGTTGAGAGACTAAGTGAGATAATGTATGCAAGATGTTCGCCACAGTACCTGATACTTTATAGTTGCTGTTAATGAAACTATTATTATGAATAAAAGACAGTCTTACAACTAACTGTCTTTGTAACTCAAGAACACTGAGGAAGGAATTATCTTAAAGGTTAATCACAGTTTAACTCTTTCATATCTAAAGCAACATCTGTGGAGCTGATAATAACATCCCAAAGACTTGGCATGATTCCCTCAGCATTTACCCCCACTACCACCCCCACAGCAAGACTCATTATAACACTTGAGTTTTGGTTTTTACGCTTTTTTAGTAGGCATTAAGACATCTCCACTATAAATACACCTTTCCTTTCTATAACTGCCTATACCTCCTTTGCACATCCAAGACAGAAGGTTCTCAATTTTAGTGGCCAGAAATATCAACAGACAGACTTATCGAAAATTAACATTTCCAAGGCAGCACTCCCAGAGTTAATAATTTCATAGATTGAAGACAAATCTTCATGGCTGAATTTTTAAAAAGAGAACCTCTAATACACATGTCCACAGATTTTAGCAAACATGATATTTGCTTCATAATATGTATTGATACTTGCTTTGTTTTTATTACAGGGTATAAATTTTTATATTTCTTACATGAAATAAAAGAAGAAATCAATCTAAAATGCTCATATTTCCTACATGAAGTAGAAAAGAAATGAGGATTAAATATCCCCAGGGATTATAGCTTATTCTTTTTAAAGAAGTAAAATTTTAGTCTCAGTGAGTATAATTTTTATTGATGAGCAAATTAAGAACTTTTGAAAGTTAAATGTTTAAAGTTTACCTGTTAAGGTTTTACCCCAAAAAACTGAAGATAAAGATTTTTTAAAAAAAAAAAGAATCCAGGAGGGGATTTAAATAAGATAACTTTGTTTCCTATGGTATTCTACAAACCATTTATTTTACAAATTAGAGTTCTTGTCTAGAAAATAAAATTACCTCTCATGTTTAAAATGACAGAAGCCATTAAGGTGTTTCAGACCTATGGGTGTGTATCAGCATGTTTTTCTTCAGCATTTACTAAGTCTTCTGAGTTCTTATGAAGATCAGTTTCACCTAAAAACAAACAAGGAAACAAATACACAAAACCCAAAATAAGCCTTTAAAAAACCTAATAAGGTTAGGAGATTTGAAACACTTTGTAAAACGTGGAAGACTGGATTTTACAATGGATTTGTGGCACATTTCTCCAAAGATATCAAACATTTTCTTTTCAGCCTGTGGATCCACAGAGCATAACAAGTCATCTTTGCTGGTTATATAAATTTTTGAAGTTGCAATTTAATCTGAGAATACAGAAAGAAATAAAACAAACAAGGCATGTTTAAATATCTATTAACTCACATGTAAAAATTATGCATGTTTTTCCTGAATATTTTTAATTGAAACAAATTCCTTTAAACAAACCCCCTAATGATCAGTGTCTTTTACCACACATTGCTTAGTTGCTATGAATTTACAACAAATGGGTATAAGAGAATAGTAAAGATAAGATAATAGTAAAGATAAGACATAATCTGTCAAAACAAACTCATGAAATTTATAGTCTTGGAATCACTCAGCTTCTGTATAAACTTTGAAGAAAAATAAAATATTAGCATGGAAAATGTTTTAATAGTTCTGGAGAGGTTATAGAGTATCTATGAAAAATAAAAATATAAAGAAAAATGTACACATAAGAATCTTATTACATAAGCAACAAACTAAACAAAATAAATAGAAATTAATTTTTTGAGTCAGTTACTCAAAACACCCTGATCTTTCAGAAAGTGTTCATGTATGATGGAATGTTCTTTCCATATGAAATTTGGTTGAAGATATTCTAAAAATTAAACTTCCCACTAATTAACTTTGAGATAATTCCTTTAACGTATATTGTAGGACAGTGTCAACTCAGTTGCAGCAGATTTTTATTGAGGTTACATAATTAGTGAACATACAGAACTTATAGGGTGTTATTACAAAGCAAATTTAAGTTGCCTCCCACCGTCTCTTTAAAATATATTCAATGGGGAAAATTTATCTTCTATGCCAGGATCAAAATATCATTTGGTTCACATGAAACATTCGTGAGGCACCTACACAGCCTTCTCTCCTTTGGCCCATCTGTCACCATCTAACTCTAGCTCTCTCAGTTAGGAACTAGACTCCATTCCCAATATCCCCTAAACTTCAGTCTCTCCAAGGGTCCTGGTGAAGCTCTCTTGCCTTGATTTGAGGTAAACAAGGAAGTATTTCTATACCTTTCCCAACAGCAGAGATCTCTGTAAACAAATCCTCTTCACAAATCCTTTTTCAACCTTACCAATCTAACCCTTTCATTTGTTTGTATTGGGTGGAAGTGTTAACCATCCTATAACTGGCTTTTGAATCTACTTTGAAATTCCTTTCTGACAAATCCGTTTGTTTTCTGACATTTATTTTCCTGGAGTCTTGGCTTAAACTTCTGATTTAATATCCTGTTACTTAAGACTAGATTAGGACAGAACAAAACAGTCTAGAGTAGAACAGAACAGAACAGAGTAAAAAGAATAGACTGAATTAAAACAAAGGAATATAAGTAATTAACTAATTCCCTGGTTCTCAAAATTTTTGAGAGAACTTTTTACAATGGGTGAAGGACACTAAGGTCTACTTGCCACCAAATGCTCTTATGTCTAGTGGATAAAGAACTCACCAATAATAAAAGAGTAGAAAAGGAACAAAATTATCAAATGGTAGCAATGTGGCAATTAACAAAAAAACCCCAAAATGATACACAAATTACATCCAAGAGTAATTCTGTACATGCAATTAGAAAAGCAACACTTAAAAACTATGACCAACTCAATATACTAGTTTTGCAGCACTGAAAATGTGTTTTCTTTGAAAACTAAAATTCCACCTGTTTTCAGGGACATCCAAACACCGCCAGGCAATTTCATGGCAATCAGATACTACAGTCCTCAGCAAATCCAAATCACATTACTTTTAGTTAATAAATCTTTAGTTGCGGAAATCTTTACAATGAACTTGGGCAGTACTACTTGTAAGTAACCCTTAGTCTTTCATAAAAAAAGTCGTATTATTCTGACATATCATTCTGCCATAAAGAAGAAATAATTTGCATTATTTAATCCATTAAAGATCATCTTAGATAACCTTCATGGCCCAAGAGTGGTCTATGTAAAAGACTTTGAGAAACATCCATATAGTCCAAGGTTCCAAATGTCTTTAAATCATGGGCACCTCTGTAGTCTGATGAAACCTATGGCCTTTTTTTCAGAATAAAATCCATAAGTAAAATAAATATGATTACAAAGGAGTCTGCTTATATTAAAATACAGCTATCAACATATTTAAGTAAACCTATGCTATAGTAAAATACATCCTTCTTTAGTAATACATTAAATAACAAGGTCTAACTACATTTCCGTATCTATGTAATTTTGAAATAATGATATCAAAAGATACTCCAAGATCTCTCCACTAAGTATATTATGAAAACATCTATGATTTCTATTGATGACAAACAAAAATATCACAAATTTTAATGTGTATTGTTGCCCACAAATGAAGGAAATGCTAAATTTCAGTTAAAGGCTAGTAAAAAAAAAATCCCTCTTCAAGTATGCAGACCCCATCTGTATAACCCCAAGTTAAAACTTTTGATCTAGTTTAACTTCATTTTCCAGGTAAGAAACAGGCCCAGAATAATCAAGTGATTGCCTCTAGTGCAGACCATAAATAGATAACCTGAAGTCAAGATAGTTGGCTTTTAATTCACTGGCACTTCAACAAGATCAGTAAAGGGACCTTGGAAATCAATTTTACTGAAGGGATTTGCAAGCTCACATGCATAGGAAGCTGCATGCACCTTAGGAATAAATGCAAGGTGACTGTTCAAAGCAAGTGCATATAAACTTGTTTGTCAGTCAGGAAAAAGGTAATGAAAGTAAGGACCCTGCAATAATTCTGTTCATCTCAAAGAGCTTTAGGTGTTCATCTAAACCAATTCCAAAAGTTTAAACTTAAAAAAAGTAATTTGTAAAATGATGAAACTGTTGTGGCTTTGCTTTATAAACAGAGTCTAAATTCTGCAGGGGGCAGGGAGGGAATAGGGGTTATAGGAGGGACAGACCTACCAAAGCAAACAGAAATCCTCTGACTTTAGCTAATCCATGCCTTTTAGACTGCAATTTGAGCTCACTTTTATTATATCGGAATCACAGTGTGTTAGACTCATATGATGTAAATATTATAACACCTACAGGGAATAATACAAGGAACACTATCAAGTGGATATTAGAGACCCCGGTTCTCCAGCCATGGTCTCATTGACTAATTATTTGAAAAATAATCTGTTAGGATAAGTTACTACACAATTGAATAACGAACACTTTGTGAACACTCACTAGGTGGCAGGCACTATTCTCATCTTAGTTTCCTGAATCCTCACAGTAACCCTATGAAGTGGGGGTTAACAATTGTGGAAACTGAGGTGTAGCTTGAGCCCACGGTCTCGAAGCTAATAAGAGGCGAGATCCCTCGAACAAAGTACAGCCAGAATCATGACCTCTGGTACCGGCAGCCGACCTTCGACTCCTGCCATGTTCACACACCCCCATCCTCTTACTCCTAATATTTTTCTTTCAATAAACTTTAAATCTATTTCCAATTAAAAAAAATTAGTTTTGTCCTGAAGAGTCATTTCTCCTCAAAAAAGAAATTTGATGTGCCTTTTTGAATTTTTCTAATACGTAAAATCTGTAATTAACAATCATTTCTTTAGTAGATATACAAATAATAATTGATTTAATTTAGTAGTCTATATTGCATCTGCTATTTTTGACTTGTCTAACCCAACAATCCCTGCACATGAGTAGGAAAATCATGACTATAGTTTCCATCGTAGAGATCAGGGACACGTGATCAGAGGGACAACTGACTATTCCAAGGCACCATAGCATAGGTGAGTTCGGGAGACAAAACCTCAAGATATACTT